ATATCAGAGAGGTATGTATTTCTCAAAGATGGACTTAATGTGTACCGACAAAGCATCAAAGTGAAGCGTTAGGTGGAATATTGTGAATATTGAGTTTCATTAACAGCTGGACTCAAGTCAGGGTAATACTTTGCATAAATGTTCTGTTAACAGATTATATTTCATAAATCTTCTGTTAAATTATCACCCATATTTTAAAAAGCTGAGATTGGAAAAAATAATAAACCAGTTCTCTGAAAGGCTCACAGCAGAAGTATTCATCCATTGTGTCACTATATGAGAAGTTTTATCAAAAACAACTTACTTCTTAGTGAAATTTGCTATGCCTCTAGAAGTGTTTGATATTTTCCTGGTCTCTGAAGCGCCCTGCAGACACCTCTGAATTGGAAGAACTATGCACGTAGGTTCCACTTGCTTCTGCATCTTGAGGAGCACCAGCAGCAGTCTGAAGCAGACAGATTCTTCCAGGAGTCGGTGCCCATGTGCAGACACAGAGACCTTTTCGTTGTGCAGGTGATGCATCCAACAAACTGTAATTGCTGTAGCCTGGGCTGAAAGTGACACCTGTAGAAAGAAGTCAGAATGAAACTGATTAATACAATGGAAAAAAACCTTTTGTGTTTTCAGATCCTTAGAGTCTCCAAGAAGTCAACATTCAAGCTGCCTGGATGCCAAGTGCATGTCACCCTTTTACACCAGGCAGGATTTTTTCATGAGAAGTGTTACAGAGGCTGGGTCCATCATGTGGATGCAGAGAAGGTCTACATAAAACTCAGAGCAGAGTAAGAGATTATTGTTTCAAATCATGAATAGTTCAGATACAAATAGATTATGAATCTGTTTTCAACCCCATCTTTGTATGACTGCAGAATTCAGTATTCAGATATTGGTCTGAATCGTAACAAGTTATCTTATGGATACTTTACAAAAATGAGAGTCAAGACTTTATATATTTCAACATTAAACAGAAAGATGAGTCAACAGAATGATAGATCTGTACTCAAAATCTTAATCATACAATGTGACTTAATGATGATATATTTATAAGCAAAGCTGCAATAGAATCAACTGATGAAAATGTGTAACAATTATACATTTCAGATAGGCAGTTGTTTGTGTTACAGGTTTTGCTCAATTGGTCAATAATTATCGAGTGATACTTCAAAAAATACTTTAATGTATTGTGTAGACAGAGCACTTACATTCTTAGATTTTTTCATTTTAAATTGGCTCTTCTTTTTTTCTTAAACAATGCTCAATGTCTGTATTTGTAATTTTTAAAACACATGACTTTTCAATTTGAGCACAGGTTGGAATATTTCAAGGATGGCTTGAAAGTCCGTGTGAAGTTCCTCATCAACCGCATAACCCTGCGCATCGAGCATAGAGCAGCTGCACTCGTGCACCGGAACAGACTGAGGGAGGTGCTGTTCCCTACCGGCCAACTCTCTTCCCACCATTCACATCTGCACAGGTCAGAGCAGCTCAAGGTCAAGATTTCTGTGAAAACATACAAAACATTTGATGAAGACATGCTCATACTCCAGTACTGCTTTACTCAATGAATGTGTCACTTTAAGTTCAGTTTATGCATGTTAGTATACCTGCTTGTTAACTTTAAACTGACTCTGCTTTAGTATGAAACGCTTGCACTCCTGTCTCTATGTCATTAGGCTGGAAGAGAAGGGCAACAACCCCGAGCAGTGCACAGCAGTTCAACACATTGTAGCTAATACTGCCAAACCAGCTCCTTACCTCGTATTCGGTCCACCTGGTACAGGTAAGGCCTCTCTATGCATTAGAATTCTCTGAATTGACATTAAGTATAAACTAACCTTACATGTCTTGGTCAGGGAAAACAGTGACACTGGTGAAAGCCATCATGCAGATAGTGAAAACCAAACCAGCAGAGTGCAACATCCTGGTTTGCGCCCCTTCCAACAGTGCCACTGATCATCTCTGTGAGAAAATACTGGAAGTGACGCCAAAGAGGTGCACAGTGTATCGACTCTACGCCCTCAGATGTGCCGTTAAAACTCTCTCGAAAGAAAGAAGGGTCTGGATTTTTTTTCTTTCCGTTTTGTTAATAGCACACATACTACAATTTTAAACAAATGTTGTTTACGAAGAGAAACAAAGATGCCGACCTCTCTATATTTACAGATACCAAAACTACGATTCTGTACTGTGAATGATTAGTTGTTTTGTTCACCTCACTGCTTTCAGACTTCACTGGTGTTGACGCATATCTCTGTAAAATATATAACTGAGTGTAGAATGTATAATGTGTTAAAATCATTGTGTACATCTGTGTTTTGTGGTTTTCTATAGTTTTCCTGCAACCTGGATCTCAAAGAAAACCAAGTAATGATTCCCAGTAAAGTAGAGCTGATGCGGCACAAGATAATGGTAACCACCCTGAACACTGCAGGAAGGTACTGTAGCTCTGACAATAATTCACTTTTTTGGGTTGGCATATCTAAAAAGTAATTTCTTTACAATATAAAAATATGTTGCCATTTCATATTAATAGTCATGATTGTAAAATTGTAAAATTTTAGTGTTATGATGAGAAGAAATTTTACTTGTAAATTTACACTTATTTCGAGTGGAATTTCCAATCAATTCAACTTTGTTATCAACTTAAATAGCAATGCACTTAAATGTCTGTGAATTTTGCTGCACACTCTCAAATTATCTTCTTGTGCAGTCAAGCTTCGTAATAATGTGCTCCAAAGTGTCTCCTATGCGAGAAAGTTTTTAGAATTACATGTCCAGAATAGTTGTTATTACAAATACGGATGCTGGATTTTAATATTTAGATTAGTTCTTGACTTTAGTTCTTTGACTCTCTCTCTCTCGCTCTCTCTCTCTCTCTCCAGGTTAGTGACAGGAGGGATTCCTCAAGGTCATTACTCCTATATCTTTGTGGATGAGGCAGGACAAGCTACAGAACCAGAGTGCATCATCCCCTTAGCAGGTGGCAAAGCATAGGAGGCTAACAAAAAAACGTTGTATTCATACAGAAGGTGTGTACTAAATGTTGCTGTGTTTCTCCACAGGTTTAATGAAACTAAAGACGTGCCAGGTAGTGCTGGCTGGAGACCCTAAACAGTTAGGTGCTGTCATCACATCTATAATGGCTAAGAAATATGGCTTGGGTGAGCTATATTCATGTCTAAAAATACAGCAACAGTTTCTAAATTGAATATTAAATACAGAGCTGCATCGCTCACAGGCAATTAGGACACTCAAATAATAAACAATAGAATCAAGCTCATTTTGTTGCTGACAATCGCTTGCATCTGTTGCACTGTTAGGACAGGCTGTGAGATAATTTTTCAAAGGTTCATAAAATACCACATTTAAAATTGAATGTGAAATTTGAATCGCTACTATAGCAAGGTTTTCAACATTTGTTCTGTGAAGGTTTGTCCCTATTGGAGCGTCTGATGAGTGACATCGACCTTTACAAGCAACACGAGACATACGGGTTCAACAAACGCTTTGTCACCAAATTACTGAGGAACTACAGGTGATGACTAGATATGTTGCTGTACCTTCTCACAATCTCATTTTAAAATGCTCAAATATGTCTTGGCCAGACAGCCCATGCTATTTCTAAACTTACATTTTTGAACACTTCTTTTCTTCCTCACTCTCTCTCAGGTCCCATCCTGCAATTTTGAAAATTCCCAATGGGCTGTTTTATAAAGGAGAACTTCAGACTTTTGCTTCAAACGAGATATGCAGTTTATACTGCAAATGGGAACTCCTTCCCAAAAAAGTAATGCAGCCTCCACACGCACGCACACATGCATGCACGCACTCTGGCGCGCACACACACACACACACACACACACACACACACACACACACACACACACACAATGCTCAGTTTATCTGCCTCTAATTTCTGTTTCTGTGTCTCAGGGTTTCCCTCTGATCTTCCATGGAGTGGCTGGAACTGATGAACGTGATGAGGACAGTCCCTCTATTTACAACACGGCGGAAGTGGAGGTGCTGAAAGAATACTTAAAAGCCCTTATTAAACATCTTCACAAAAAGGGTGTAACCAACATTGGACCCAACGAAATTGGAATCATCGCCCCATATAGGAAACAGGTGCGTAACGACAGACACTCATGGATAGGTGATAGACCTGTGTGTCACTGCCATTAGATATGCTCCCATTTATGCCAAATTAAAATGACATCTGTAAAAAAAGGATAAGTCAAATGGCAAACAAGGTCACTCATTTTTTTATAAAACATACAATTTATGTGTAATATTGAACACACTTCGAAAGACTTTAGAAAGGTGTTCTTATCTGCATGAGATCACCTCATTTTCAAGTGCAGCACATGGAAGAAGGGAAAGATGTACTGAAGAGACACTTTGTTCTCATGTATGAGCGGTATTCAAGAGTCTCTTCTGAGAGGCCAGTTTTCAGTCTCTGCAAAACAAATATACTTGCAATCTAAGGGTAACGGTAACTCTGTAAACTTCATATTTTTGTGTGCCGACAGGTGGAGAAAATCCAGAATGCGCTGCAGACCGACCAAGATCTCTGCAAGGAAAACTTAGAAAACATATCGGTATGGAGATAAAATGTTTACAGTCAAATCTTATTGAGAGAGAAAAAAAGGGGGCGACGTTAAAGAGATTTAAACAGTGCTCATCACTGTTTTTAATAGGTCGGTACAGTGGAGTCGTTTCAGGGTAAAGAGTCCAAAGTGATTCTTGTGTCTGCAGCGCGCAGCATTCCTAAATTGACTGATCCAAAGCAGAGATTCTCTTTAGGCTTCGTGGATAACGAGAAGGTGAGAACCGTTACATAAACTTACAGTCACAACAACTCAAGTGAAATGTATAACATTTGTGCAAATTCCCACAATAGCACTTGGCTGCCAACACTTCTGTAAAAATGAGGAAAAGCTTGATTTATATAGAGATCAGACACTCATTAATGCATGCACACTAACTGAAACTACCTCCTCAGAGATTCAATGTGGCCATGACTCGAGCACAAGCCTTATTGATTGTAGTCGGAGACCCGAGAGTTTTGAGAACTGACGCAACATGGAACAAGTAAGGCTCCATATCCTCATCAGTGTAGTTATGTTACAGCGGAGGAGAAAGGTTTACACGTAGCTTAAATCCTAAATATCTAATATGCTTCAAACTCATTTTAGATTCATCCATTACTGCTACGAAGAAGGGGGCTACAGAGGCATTCCACTGTCTGATGAAGAAGAGGAAGATACACTGACTGATGAAAACTCACCAAGCTTCCGGTAATATGCACATGCACACACACACACACACACGCTTGTTATTGTTAGTCTGTTCTATGACCAGAAGCTATCTTAAAGATGAAGGAATGATCTGTTTTTTTTTTTTTTATCCATTTTTGATTTTCACCCCACAGAGAAGAGTGATCAGCAACAGAGCACCCTGACAGAGCCAACACACCTTCTACGCTCACCTTTGGCTCATGTATGAGCAACTATAATAAACAACTCCAAGAAACTTCAATGTATGTGTGCGGCAAAATGTTTTATATTTTTCAACAGACAGGACAGACTCTAGGCAGACTGCATTTCTAAGGTGTTTCTTTTGTTATATGAATGTAATTTTTTATCCTATAAATATTTCAAAGGCAAAGTTCATTTACAGTGATAGGTTACCTGTCAGGCTGACTTGTTATATATATTTTAAAAAGCAAATCTGCAAGTGGTTAATGTTAAGGCTTTTCAATTAAGTCTTTAATTTTGTTGGAACTGGCCATTTTTTCACATGAATGTAGACTTTGTCATTTTAAGGTTTAAAAGCTTTGCACCACATTCACACACTGGTTCAAGATCTTTCAAGCACTTCCCTTGACAATTTTTTTTTTTATAGTAATGATTATCAAATCTCTTGAGACTCTTTCACACAGTGGAGCTATGTTTAAGTTTCAGTTTACCTGCTGACAAACAGAAACTTATTTTATAATTTTATGGTTTGCCTCGAAACAGGACCAGAAATGAGAGGGGAGGGGCCTTTTAAATGCCCTTTAGAGACATTTCCAAGTCAAGTAAGCAGTGATATGAGATGACCTTAGAACAGTAGTCGAGTCAGTAAATGATTTCAATAACCACAAAGTCCTTGTGGTCTTTGTTAATAATGCTAAGCCCAGTAACAAACAGGAGGTCCACTGTTGCTGCTGAAGTTAATCCTCAAACAGAAGTCGTCCATGGAGCTCCATTAACATGGAGCATCCTAACTGAGAGAACAAGCTAGTGAGCTGACATCAGATCATTTCGTTATTTTCTCAATGAGGATGTCCTAACTTTCTACATCCTTCTGCAAAAAAGGCTGAGTACTGTGTGGTTTATGAAAAAAGTACTTTTTTTTAATGTAACCTTTATTTAATCAGGAAAGAAACTTGTTGAGATTAAAAATCTCTTTTTCAAGAGAGTCCTGGCCTAGACAGGTAGCAGCACAATTAACAGTTCCACACAAACAACGAGCAGCCAAACATACTAATACAAAAATACATTATAAGACATTAAAAGACGCAATAAACAAATCTAAACAGAATTTTTTGTCTATATCATCCACAAACACATCAGGGATAACATCTACAGCCAGATGTGTCAGGACCAAGTCATTTCATATCCTCTTACAGTCATCCAACGACAGCAGCTCTTTGAGTTTGAGCTCTTTTTGTAATTCAAATGAAGGACACCAATTTCAGCTTTTCCTGGCATGCATGCATCTTTTTGAAGAAGTAAAACTATTAATCTTTAATTTATGTTACGCCCTGTGTCAGCCATCTGTTCTATTTCCCAAGGCTGGGAGAAAGGGGAACCAAAACGATTGCAAGACATAACACAACAGAAACCTTGAGAGAGAACAACTTCGGCCCTCGTCTGCAGGGGACACAAGGGACCAGACAATGTTTCTCAGAGGAACGAGAGATTCTCACATTCTTCACATGACATATAGTCCTACATCATATTAAGACGCAATTCCTTCTTCTCCCTAAATCATGGGTCAACCCAATAATGTCTCAGTCTCTCTGACCAGATAACAGATCTGATCCTTTTGAAGAACAGGGATTACTTAGTGGGGAGTCCCAACTACATACATCTGAGCTGTTACAGTTAAGAAGGTGGTTTATGGGTAATGTAGGCGATGACAAGTGGGATTGAGTCTCCCGTTACGGTACGAGTGTGTGGTCTAAGGTGTCTGTAAATAAGCTGACCCGGTTTGGAAACATCAGCTGTCATGATGTACTACGGTTAGGGACGAGAAGCTGACAAGAAGGTAACAGAGCACACAAAAAACAATTCTCCATTCTTTAACCTCTTCAGCTTAATATTCAGATGACACCACAAAGTCAGATTACAGAAACATAGTATCTGATTATACAGAAGACAAACAGGTGTATGAAACAGTATCAGCAGGTGACATTGTAACATAATTATGTGGACTGGTTAGATGATTTATGGATTGTTATTTTTTTCTTGGAGATCAACATGACAAATTAAATGCTCAGCTTCAGTTGCTAAGGTTACGGACCAGAAACAAGGAGAGTAGCCTATGGACCCATTTGTTTCATGTCAACAGCAAACAGTGAACCTACTATCATCTTATGAGGACTTATGTCTGATTGGCAATTAGAAAAGTTGTCCATGCATTTGAGTAGTGCAGAATACGGTTAAAATCCTGAATGTCAAGAGAGCAGATTCAGTAACTTGATGCTAAAGTCGTCATTGAACAGGGAGAGTGGATCACAACACCTCTCATTATATTCAACTTGTTCTAAAATATTAAGCATGCAACCAAAACCACAATACAACTTTTATGGTTTAAGCACCAAACTACTTCCTATTATAGCCTGTTCCTCAATATGCAAACCAAAAAAACGTGGAAAAATGGAAGCTGGTACACAAAGTTTATAATTTCAGTCTAATGACTAATTGATCGTTGTTACCTGTGTGACGTCAGAGCGTCGCTGAGTCATTTGGACTGTGTTAAGGGCGAGACACGCCTTGACCCTTCGCTCATATGAGTTTGGCAGCTTTATTTCCTTATAGAAGATCTGATATGCATAGACAGCAGCGTTAGGATGTTGCCTTTATGCCAACAATGCCACTATAGTTTCATTTAAGAAACCCATCTGTTCTTACAGGCTACACATTATAAGAGCCGGTTTGCAATCGACATTTTGGTTTAGACTGATTTTTAAATGGACCAATAACATAATTGCATTTTTTGTGAAAGCTCATGAAGTATTTCATTATTACTGATTGCTGTGATCGTTTTTAAGTCTGTCTTTTCCTGGCAGTGAAACAAAGTTAGTACAAAAATATTGTTATATATTATAACAATATTGCCCAGGTAGGCAGCAATAGCGTGATGTCGCCACATAACAGAGGACGTGACAAAGTCAGTCATGTGGAAAAAAAAAAAAAAAACACCAGACTGACTCATCGTTATCAAATCTTTTAATAGCGTTGTATTTGTCTAACTTGTTTGTTGTTTCGTTTTACTTCCTTGGCCCCAAAGATTTAGGTTTCGTTTCTCAGGACTGTGTGGACGGATGGTGCGCTTGCTTTGTCACCCGGACCTGACCGTCAGAATGCTGCAGCGGACGTGCATCACGTTTTTATTTACATCACCTATAGCCGTCCTAAAAAAAAAAAGCGACTCCTGCAACAATATCTAGAGGGTGAAACAAATTGCTCTTTTTTCTAAATTGGGGTCTACAGGGTTAAATACACAGAGACACCGTCCACACGGACTGCCCAGGAGTCAAAAGCGAACCACCCTCATTGGATTTCCTCTACAACGCAAACTCGTCTGCTGATCAGCTAGGCCATATATTTGCGAGTAGGCGAGTAACAACTCAGAAGTTTTCTTGTGTCATTAATCGTAGACAAAACAGTCCGGTACCATGGGGCAAAAAAGGGCAAGAGTAAAGTTTAGTCCATCTGCACTCTGCCAGATCGGACTCGACTTCTTTGAGTATTTAAATGAATCGAATCAAGCATCCATCACAGACAGAATTGAACTGAGAGACATTTACAATACTGAGTTCAGACGCAGGTGAGTTTTCTTCATGATGGGGACAAAAAGGTCAGTGTATGAGTTTTGTGTTGTTTTTTTTTTTTTCAAAATTAAATGTTTTTGTGTTTATTTTAGGACTCCAGGGACAAAAGATCCAAACTTTGGTTCAGTCCTTTATGCCCTGAAAATGTCTCGCAAAATCACAAGACGAAACGACGAGATCCGCTTTAACTCTACGGTAGGCAACATCTATTTCTAAGACACCTCGACTCCAATATGAAACTGTGCAGCTTCGTGTTTACAACTTTTGAAAGTCGTTGATAATATTCTACAACACCTGACCTGACATTATCAATCAACACAATCAACCAGGTTGAATTACAGATTTACTATTTTTTGAAGCTTAATCCTCAGAAAGAGTACATTTATATGCACATCATTAAGTATGAATTTATTTTAAAGAATCAGATCAGAACAACGGATTGCTATGATTTGTTAAAATATATCTATTTTTGAATATCTAATTGCTCTTTGTGAAGGATCAAAATGTAACCTATTTAACTTTTGATACATAATAAGGTGTGGTCAAGGAGCCTTTTGCATCTGTGGTCACATGCAACACTGTACTCACTGAGCATCTGGCACTTGGCAAACATACATTCAGTAAAGTCATAGCTCTGATGTTTGATGTTTTACTGATGTATTTTTTGCTTTAAAGTAAATATGATAGCAGTACTCCAGCTAGTGTAATAAAGGGGTTTACACTTTCAGTCGCCTCCTACAGGAAAAGTACAAATCAAAGGTTATCCTGCAGTCCAAACATCGACCAAACCTCACACATGTGTCAGTTTGATGCTCTCGCAACATGGACGTGTGAAACCATCAAATATGACAATAAAGGAATCAGCTGATATAAGTGTTAAGATGTTAGCTTGTTTACTTGAAGCTTAGAGTGAACTTGCACAATGCTGTATTTTATTGTATGTATATTACATATTGAATTGATTTTAGATCCACAAATAAAATGTGATAAAGGTGTAAAAACTAAACGACAGAAAAAAGATGGAGGTCATTACCAGTTGTCTCAGAGAAGGATTGAATCCTCTTGAAAGCCAAGGTCAGGGTCCAGCTGCAGGAACTAGAATGACTGAGAGTCTAATGGGCTCCTTGTGCGGGCTGCATGCAAACCAACTCAGACAGTCCAGGTATTCATGATTCCTGTGATGTTCTCTCATTCCATATATTGTATGACATCCCCCTTTCTAATCAGAAGCCTGTATTTGCACACATAGACTATGTATTATGAATCGGTGTATGTCTGTGATTGTGTCTTCATATCTGTTTTGTTGGGTTTTCTAATGTTACTGAATGCTGTATATATGTTATTACACTGTTTATAAAGGCTCAACAAGAGACAAGAGCTGAAAATGATCAAGATCTATAAACTCTCTGTGCATCACATCAGTTTCATGCTCTGTTGGATCTATGTTCAAACCTTAATTCAGACTATTTTGAACTTGTTAATGATATCTCAAGTAAAGCTGCTGATGATGTTGACATATCTGTAAATATCATATAGATCTAGATCTATAATCATTGAGGACATTCCCGTTTTTGACATTTAATTAATTAATGATCAAATGAGAGACTTGACAGGAAGTCATCCTGTGCACAGGTCAAATCTTTTTACGTGGACCAGTGGCATTCGCCCAGTGGTCAAACACCAGAGCCCGCCCAGTGTGGAGCAGCCAGTCCACTGAATGAACAGAATGCCGCCTCTGGAGATGAAGCACAGACGGGAGTTCGAGCCCGCAGGAAACTGGCCGGTCTTCTGATAACCAGCTTGAAAACAAACAGGTAAAAGAACCAAATTAGTGGTACACTTAATTTCCATGCCATTGCGCCATTTTTTTGGGTGTTGTTAATCTTTATCACTCCTTGTTCATGATTGTTGCTAAACCAGTTTGTCTCAACTGCTTAGAGACAATGAGCTAAATTAATTCTCAAGTCAAAAACAGAAAAAGGTTCCTCCCCCTTTATTCTTGTTTACCTCTGTCTTCTTTGTTTTCTTTATGGCCAAAGAAATCAAGAATTTACAAGAACGAATATGGCCCTCAGATTAAATGGTGGTCTTTATAGTCACACTGCACTTTGATACTTGGTTCATAAACTGTTCTCTTTGCACCCACAGAGCTCAGTTCATCTCTGACAAACGGGGGGTCTGCATCAACTCTGAGCATGAGTTTGACAACGGGACCCTTAGCTTGCGAGTGGATGAAACATTTGAGGTATTTCTGTCACTAAAACCTGCAATTTGTCCTTGACGATCATACAAAGAGATCAGATGTAGCAAATTGTTGGCTCTTGCCTTGGTACAAATGCGAGGCTGCATGCACCCGTTTTTTGTCTTTTTTTTCTAAACAGTGCGTGGTTAATCTGTATGTGGAAAACACTGGAACAGAAACGGTGTATTTCACCTACTACACCCCACTGAACTGGATGAAGTACCTCACTCTGAGAGATGACAGACACGTGACCAAAGTCAATCCTCTGTTGCTTAAACCAGGTAATGCAAAAACAGAAAGTATTGTCTGGATTTGGGATTTCATATTGTATCTCCCCTGAGAGTGAAATAATAGACACAGTAATCTACCATGAATACAATAAAAAAAACAAGATCATCTATTTTTTTTCTCTTCTCAGGTCAACGTTATGAAATCCAGGTGACCTTCAAGTGCAGTTCGGTTGGTTTCTATCCAGCTACACTCGCCTTTGAATTCAAACCAGACCTGCAGCCGTCTACTACTGCCTTCCACATTGTGCGCTACATTGAGGCTCAGTGCATAACTGCCTTAGGACTGGAGCTGGCACCTATAGCCCCCTACAAACCTCGCTCACTCCCTGAATGGACTCCTGAAGTCAACTATACGGTTGTGGATGGACAGCGACCTGAAGGGTATCATGATTCTCTCAACATACAGTGGAACACACATCCGATGTTGACATTTAAATGCTGTAAACCTCTGGGTCTCATTCACAACATGATTGGGTGTCTTCACTTTCTTCTTCACGAAGCACATGCAAAGGGTTAAATTCTCCCAAAACGGCACTGCAATAGCACCTTGTGCTCCAGTGCTGTTTGGACATTACTAAATGAGCTACTATGCATTCCTGCAAAGGGAAAACACAGTCCCTTTCTATGCAAATGAGCCTCACCTTGTTCACAATCACACTGTTTTCAGCAACACAGTTTGAGTGATAATGTTTTTTGAGATTTGGTGGGACCTGCGCCACGGTATTTATAAGTGTCACGCTCAATCTTTCCAGTGATCATGACAACAATTCCATCTTTTAGAACCTAAAAATAATTTATCTTTAAATACAGTCTGTAAATGTTACTTTGACCTTATTATTATTACAATAAGCAGGGCTTACATCAGTCTTGAGCTGTCCCAGGCTCAACCCTAGCACATACATACACTTCATCAACATGTATGTAGTGGTCTGAAGATGTTGCACAGGAGGAAGATGAGTGTTTTTTTTTTTCTTACCATTTGCATTTCTTCTCCTTTCTCCAGGCTTTCTGTGATGCAGCTAAAAAATGTGGTTGAGCTGAATCAGTATAAAATCCCAGCGTACATGAACCAGCTCATCCAGTCACTGAAGCAGACCACGCTCTTTTCTGATAGAAGGTCAGTTCAGCTCTGTCCTTCGGCCTAATGCTAGCCGGAGCGATTTATCTTTGAGGCCAAACATCAGTACATTTCTTCTTGTTTGTGTTTAGAAGGAACGTGTTGGAGAGTCCCTTGAGCTGGGAGAACTACTGTGAGAAGTTTCAGATGCTGCTGTTTCTCGAGGAGCAACAGATGGAGGTGGACATCAAGAGATACAACATCCCCAATGATGATAGAGAACTCGCCACCATGAAAAAAGATAATGTCAACAAGAGACTTCTGGTTCTGGAGGTGAATATGCTGGCACTCATTCACTGATCAAATCATTCCTGTACTTCTTCATTCCTTCTGGAGATTAAAAAAAAAAAAATCAATTGCTCCAGCTGGCTCTCTAGTAGCTGGAAAGGAGGAAGAACAGAAATGTGATTAATACTTATCAAGCAAGGAATGGAACATGTTTCTTCACTTATGTATTGGTTTTGTTATTTATTATATTATTTCATAATATATCTTATTACATTATTTTGTATCATATTATAAATATTGCTACATATTCACCTGGCAGGTACCTGGTGTCTCGGAGAACCGCCCGTCCGTGCTCCCAGGGGATGTTCTGCTGGCGTATCCTGTGGGGGAAACAAAGGTGAAGTACCGCGGCTACGTCCACAGTGTGCAGCTGGACAGCGTTAGACTCGGCTTCAGTTCAGAGTAAGATTAAAACTTTATTAAAAACACAATATACAGTATTTAAGATAAAAAATAAGTTTATGTCTACTTTAATTTTGTATGTAATCTTTGGATTCCCATTGTTTTTTTCTTTCTTTGCAGATTGCTGACTCGTTTTGTTGATAACATGAAGTTCCATGTTGAGTTCACAGTCAACCGGCTGACTGTGCGTGTTCAGCACAGAGCGGCGGAGCTGGCGGCTGCACGCGGCCTGAAAGACGTGTTGTTCCCCTCTGCAGACGCCCTCTCCTCTTTTCAACCCGAACTTCCCCGACTCATGTAAGGCACACCAATGTTTTGTGATGTATACTGTATGTACTCTGTAGAAAGTGCATTGTATACTGTATGCAGTGGAGGGATTAGCTGATACAACTTGTTGTTGGAGGTTGATTTAAAATGTGAAAGACAAATGTTAAAGATAAATCTTGTGATTATACTTGTAGCTTTGTCTAAAAAACAGGATCTTGTGTCACCCGATGAAACAATTGAATTTGCTGTGCATGTAAACAGAATGGCTTATTCTACCTGTGACGAAGCCCTGTCATCATCTTTCTGTTCCTGATAGGCTGTTTGACTCAAAGCTGGAGAGAAACGAAGAGCAGTACAAAGCTATACAACACATTGTAGCTGGCACATGCAAACCGGCCCCTTACCTGGTGTTTGGCCCTCCTGGAACAGGTACAGCAAGTACCAGCATATAACTTTGTTGTCACATGAGCCTCACTGTTAAAGCTACTCATGTCTGATCTGTTATCCTACCAAATGCTCACAACACCAGAGAGTCAGTCCACTGCATTCTGACAGTTCTTGGTCTGTTCAGGGAAAACTGTGACACTGGTGGAGGCTATCAAGCAGATAGAGAAGAAGGAGCCCTCCTGCCACATCCTGGCCTGCGCTCCCTCTAACAGCGCTGCTGATCTGCTCTGCAGCAAGATCCTGGATCATGTGGACCGGCATAAAGTGTTCCGCATGTACGCAAGCAGCAGGGACCCCAAATATGTCCCAGAAGAAATAAAGGTCAGTACCAGTGCATTTGATGCAAGAGGTTCAATTCAACAAAACAAGGATTGTTTTAAAGCAGGGAGCTAAATTACACCCCCTAGTGGACTTGAACAAGCATTACAGTAATTACAAAATGAGTCAGGTGTTGAAAATTGAGGCCAGTGCAGAAGTGCAAAAAGCTGAAGTTCCTCGAGGCTCGTTCCAAAAGCCAAAGAATCAACGATTACCTTCCAGATTTAAATGACCATTTTTACGGCAGAATCAAACACTTTATGGCCAGGTACAAAAAAAGGATTCATGTGAATAGCTAATTTCTTTCTTGGTAAAAGCTTAGGGGGGTGGATTCTTTGAAGTGTAAGAGTTATGCGTACATTTTCATGATTCACCAGGACTGTGTTTTGTCGTTCTGAAACAAATGGTTAACGTCACAGACACAACGTCCATGTTTCATACAGTCAATGGTCAGGACCACTTAATTGCTTTCTCTCTGCATTGCTGTTGCTCTATGTGGGGTTAGGGAAAATTTGTGTATTCTAAGGTCTCATTCTAACCTCACTGAGTTTGTGTGCATGGACATGGTTCTACTTTCACAGGATTGCACTAACCTGGTTGGAGAGTGTTACCTTTTTCCTGCCAAAGAGAAGCTGATGGAGTATAAGATCATGGTTACCACCCTGTTAACAGCTGGCAGGTAGTGAAAGATTGACAGTTTGCTCACCTGCATGACCCTCTAAAAGCTGTATGCACTGTTGTTAACTTCATTACTCACAGCTTGTTTGTAGCCTTTATCTAAAGAACAAACAATGAGTGTTACAGATGAACTCCTAAGGGAATACGTTTAATTGTGCTCTGTGATCTGTGCAGGATGGTCTCAGGAAACATCCCCGAAGGCCATTTCACTCACGTGTTTGTGGACGAGGCAGGACATGCCATCGAGACTGAATGCATAGTCCCCCTTGCAGGTACAGGGGGAAACATAGTACATTTTTGGTAACCATATGGGAACTTGTCCTGTGTGTTGGCTCATTTTTGTTCTCACTTGGACAAAGGGTTACTACATGCGAAGTCTGGTCAGGTTGTTCTTGCTGGAGATCCCAAGCAGCTTGGGCCCATTCTCAGATCTCCGTTTGCGCAGAAATATGGCATGGGTAAGTAAAAGCGCATTAACACACTGTCCTGTTAGGAACTCTTGATTTGGAACCACATTTGAGTGTTAAAAGTCTCTGTTTGCTGCAGGAGTGTCCCTCCTCGAGCGCTTGATGAAAGACTTCCCTCTGTATCAGAAGGAGGAGGGAGTGTTCAACAACAGCTTTGTCACCAAACTGCTGAAGAACTACAGGTGTGGTTTCTGGGACATTACCTGACAGAAATCATTTGCTTCCTCACTCTCTTTTTGGTGTTTTTTTTATTTGTATGTTTATCCATCTTTAGGTCTCATCCTGCCATTCTGAAAGTTCCCAATGAGCTCTTCTATGACGGAGAGCTGCAGGCTAGCGCCGATGAAATGTTACGCAACTCCTACTGTAGATGGCAACATCTCCCGAAGCAGGTATTGATTCTTCTTTTATCATTTATGTATAATACAGAGTATGTGAATCTGATCATTTAGAAATCAGATTATGAAACAAACTAATAATACAATGTGTGTTCCTTGAGACTTGTTGCCTAAAACAGCAAATGACACATATTCGATAGTTTAGGCTGCTGCAGGTGAGGACTATCGTTTTGGGTGTGTCAATGTAAATTGATTATTTTAGGGGTTTGATTGTCAGTGGGAATAAAAGACATTTCAAGGTAACTAAGGCATTTGGAAATGACATTTTGTTTTTGCTTTGACATCTCTAGGACTTATCAATAGGGAGGAAATTGACTAGTATTAGTTATTCTATACTGCCCTTCTGGTACACTCTGTTGTTTTTTTCCCGTTTAAAACTTAAAACTGAACATTTTCAGCAGTAATAAAATGTTTTAAAGTCGGATTGGTTTCAATCAATCAATTCTACCTAACACTGTATGAAAAATACTTGTCTGCGCTTAAAAAATCATGAACTTATCCTTAGAAAGTAAAAAATAATGAAAGGACTGATTTTAGAGTTTAAGTAAAAAGAAACAACTAACTAACACTGTATCTATACACACTACAAATCCCAGCAACCACTTTGTACACATGGTTAAAAAACATGTTCAATGTTTTTCCCCTCAGCATGAAGTGAAATAATTATTTGAACATGTTCTCTTTGAAAATGTACGGCTTAAAGGTGTTCTTTCTGATTTATAATTTCACATAAATCTCAAATATATCTCACAGGGCTTCCCGTTGATCTTCCATGGTGTGATGGGTGTCGATGCACGTGAAGCCAGCAGTCCTTCATTCTTCAACGTAGCAGAGGTGGAGACGCTCATGAGCTACGTCAGGAAACTGCTGGAGACGCAAGGCAAGAGTCAGGGTACTCTTGCACCCAAGGACATTGGCATCATTGCCCCCTACAGGAAACAGGTCAGAATGTATTCAAGTCAAACACAATACAAGAATGTAGTTTATTGTTGTTGATCTGTAAATGAATGCTGGATCTGTTTCCTCTGGCTGTCACGCAGGTGCAGAAAATCCGAAAGGCCCTGGAGAAAGTTGGGAAAGACTTTAAATTTAAGGACATGAATGGCCTTAAGGTAACACAATATGTCAACCCTTATTCGTGTGAAACAAACAGCAGAAGCGTTTTTTAAAGTGTGAATATACATTTGTGTGTCAGGTTGGTTCTGTGGAGGAGTTCCAAGGTCAGGAGAGGAAAGTGATCATGGTGTCTACAGTCCGCAGCAGCTCCAATTTCGTAGAAATAGACCAAAAGTTCAACCTCGGCTTCGTCAAGAATGAGAAGGTATACAGCACAACACATGCAGGCACACTCAGTTGTAACATAAAAACATATTGTTCTGATACACTTTCTTTTTCCTTCCAGAGATACAACGTGGCTGTGACTCGAGCTAAAGCCCTGCTGATTGTGGTGGGAAACCCCAGAGTGCTTAACACAGATCCTACCTGGGCACGGTACGTGTCACATGACTGTCTCTTGTTCCCTGCACAACCCACTGTGACGTCATTAATAATATTAATCTCCAAAACAACCGTTCAAAATCTTCTAGTAAGAAATGAAATGGTCCCACACTGAGATAGTTTGTAGTGAAACAGTGGTCCTCCTTACAAAATGTATTTTAGACGGTAAAGTCATTCTTCCTTTCTGGAGAGTTTTCTCTGCCCTGTCCACTAATAACAGTTTAAAACAGGCTTTGACTGCAGTGACTGACATCACAGCACACATGACGTTTACGGTTGCTGTAAACAACTTCTCTGATCATTTCAAGTAAATAGATGAAAACGACATTCATTTATCATTACAACACATGAAAGCATGCACTACTCAACAGAAAGAGTATAAACAGATAGCAGAAAGTTAAAGCTCAGCCTTAGAGCATGAAACCCTGAAGCCTGTCTAGGAACTACTCAACCCTGAGGACTCAGACTTGGACTCTAGCAGTGGGGAATCAGCTTGGACTCGATTCTGATTTTGCTTTGGAAACTAGGGCTGGACTCGGGTAATGGGGACTTGACTCAATTTTTTTTGGTGACTCAGACTCAAATAGGACTGGGGACTCGAGGCTTGACTCGGACTTGAGGTTTGGTGACTCAACTACAACACCGCAGGCATAAATATTCACATCACATTCAAGATTCAAGAAGGCAGTCTCTTTAAACCCTGTTGTTGTTTTCTCCCTCTGCACTCGTCTGCAGGTTCATCCAGTACTGCCAAGACGAGGGAGGCTACACTGGTGTTGTCCATGCAGAGGAAGAGGAGGATGTAGTGATACGACTGGCTGCTCTCTACTTAGACATTGAGGCAACAGGTGACAGACACACGTCCTTTTTTTCATCATTTCCCTCAACATGAACTCTTCGAATTGAAGTTGAACTCTTGTCTTTCTTTCTCTGTGAATCTTTTCTTGCCAGTGGTGACTGCTGAGAGTGCCATCCAGCAGCAACTAGACCCCGAGTGGAGGAATGACCTGTGAGAGGAAAGAAGCTCCCCATCCTCCATGCTGAACTTTGAATCGATGGATTGTTTTTATGTGGGGTATATTTCTATCTTAGAGGCTTGAGACAAAAAGCAGGAAAACAAGGTTTCTGCAACTCACTCAAATTCTCAGAAAAGGGCTAAATGGAACTAGAATTTATTCTTTATATTTATATTTTAAAAATATTCTAATATATTTGTACAATCTGGGTAATCTTTCAAATGTCAGCTTTATGAACTCGACCAAAGATCATCAATGACGTAGAGGTGAATGTTGTTCAGCACTGACACTTTTTCTTCTGATACTTCAGGGATTTGCATTAACACTTTGAAATTGACACAGCAGCACATTTCCTCTCACTCTTTTAAAGTCACAGCAAAATATTTGGAGACTGTAAATCTAAAAAGAATTTTAACAATAAAAAGTGCAAGTCTCAGGTTTATTGTGTAACAGTTTTTGACGCCGCTCATTCAAGAGTAATCTGGTATCCTATCTGCAGGTTTTTCATCATTTGTTCTTTCAGAGAATCCTCTGCATAGAACGCTTCCCTCCATGTATGATATGTCTAATTTATTTAAGATCACCAAACTCAATGCAACTTTTTTTTATTGAAATTAACCAAGTTAAAAATGTTGATCTTTTGAACTGTTTGGTATTTTCTTGAATTTGAAATAGCTCAGCTTTTGTACAATGGAAGTGTAGCAAATGTCCAAACTGTTTCCATGTCATCAAAACAGGAACAGGAAATAGTCAGGACCATTAGATGGGTTAGATTGATGTCTGTCTTTATGATTTTCTGTTATTTGCTGTGGTTTGTTCCATAATAAAAATCAATGCAGTAAACTGTGACTACGGGGAAACTTAACCCATCTAAGAATATGATAAGAATGAATTTTTCAAACAAATGAAGAGCATCTGCAAGGTGGGTTACATGAGGAAAACTCACTGTCAGCTTACTATCAGGCAGTATTTGAAAAATACTTTATTAACATGTTGTCTCATTCAGACATTCAACACACACCCCTCTCCTGTTTGTAAAGCGCCACCACAATTCATATTTTCATTCTACCACGTTTCAACATTACGAAGAGGCACTGTCCAGGAATTAGCCCAAGCCAGGAACATTCAATGTATCTGAATGTACCAGATAAAAGAAAGATCACCACATATGTCGCTTATGATGTTGGTAAGATCAATGCAGGGACCATTCAATGCACTCCAATACTGTGAGACAGATAGTTTTGTTTTATGACATGCATGACAGAAGCACACGCTGACTCAATCGGGGGCCTGACAGAATCATGGAAGAAGTTTAACGAGATAGGACAAGTGGAGTAAGTTGTGGTTTTGGTCACTAAGACAACTGGCTCTCCAGTTGGAATTTTCTTGTTCAAGTTCTCTATTAATATAATCATTTGGGGCATGTGTGTAAATGTAGTGTTTAAAGTTGCTGTTACAGTTTAGAGTCCAAATACAACAGCAGACGTTTCAGGTAAAAAAAAAAACACATCCTCTGGGTACATGTTGGCAAAATGTAATTTATCTTGGAGGAGCACCTTCTGATCAAACCTTTGACCGGCCACTAGAAACCGAAGGTTTTCAAAGAGTGTCCCTTTAGTGTTAAATGAAGACCTATTCTCCACTGTTAAAGCCCCCATTTCAACTTAGAGAAGCTTACAACCTTTTCATGATAACCGAGCAGTCATCAATATGTCAGTTGGACGTCGGGGTTATTTTTCCCTGAAAATGAACATGGCTGTAGACTGTGTTACACTGTGCACTTTTCCACAGAAAACCAAGAGTACAGTGATGTATACTGGATCTGAACCAGCCATGCAGAGTACAGACAGGAGCCTTGTTTGAGGGGAGGCAATGGTGACGTCTTTTTAGATGCAAATCTGTCAGTATAAGCGTGACAATGGACCACTGTCTCCAGTGCCAGTTTAAGCTATCACCATGAGGGAGATGGAGCAAGGTGCATCCCAAACCTATCAACTAAAAAGCTGTATATGCTGAATCAGTGTAAGAAGGCTTCGGGGGATTAATGCAGAGTGAACTGGGTCAAAATGTAGTTCTTTATGTCAGAAAAAAACATTTGGGGAAAAATCTCTTCCAACTCAGCACTTGGTGAACTAAAACTTTTTAGGGTTTAACTACATTTAATAGTGGTGCAAAGAGTAGATGAATCATGACTGAAGGAGACTGAGTAGTACATGCGGGTAAAAAAAACAACAAAAAACAATGTTCCAAACTATCAGAGCAAAACTAGAAAAAAACTTTTAAACGAGTGTGTGAGCTGAGAGCAAGACGTGTGCTACAAAACTTTTTCTCTGTAAACAATCATAACAAAGAGGCAGAGGCATGATATATTTGTAAAGTATGTGCACATATATATATATATATATATACACACACACACACAAACATACATACATTCATTCATATAGAAGGAAGGGATAGGTCCTTCACACATAAAGGCTGGTGTGCAGGTACAGGGAAAAACCTAACAGAAACTAAAGAGTGAGTAGCAGAAGGAATAAGAGTTTTTTTTATTTTAAAAAAGAAGAAAGAAGCTGTTTTGCTTTTAAACAGGTGTGTCAGTCTGTCATATTCTCCTGTGGCATATCTGCATCGGTGAAGTAAGTAAAGTCCTCGGAAGCCATTGATTCACTAAGTTTGCTCTGTGTTTATATGGGGAGTCCTCCCTTGGTTGCTAATTGGCAAACAAACTCCGCCCCCTCACAGTAGCTGGCAACCACCCCTCTTCTTGCGTTTGCGGACCTGCAGCGCTGCTCTGGTGGCCATCTCGAACACCTCCCGCACGCCGTCCTTGGTCTTGGCCGAGCATTCCAGGTAGCCAAAGGCACTTATGCGGTTGGCCATGTCTCTGCCCTCTTCGGACTTAACCGGCTCCTGAAAGTTAACGGGACAGACAGTGGGTCAAAATGACAATATGGATATTAAAAGACTGATTGGAAAAGAGAGATGACTGGTTCTTCTTTAAAACTTCATCAGAAACACGAGTTTGTCCTCGATCATAGACTAATAACAGCCAATGAGAGATAATCACATGTGCCAGGCTTTTACTACATAACAAGAAAAAAGAACAATGTAAAGAACAAAAGAACATGAATTGTGAAATAAGCACTATATATAGATTTATATAAAGAGAGACGGATTGATTTTGGGGTCATTTGTTGCCAGTAACACCAACCTGTTTCATCTTGGCCAGCTCTCTGCGTGTGTGTTCATCATTTCTAAGGTCCTTCTTGTTACCCACGAGAATGATGGGGACGTTGGGGCAAAAGTGTTTCACTTCTGGCGTCCATTTCTCAGGAATGTTCTCTACAAAATTTAAAACAATCAAATAAAAGTAAGTCTCAGTAAATCACTGACTTCTCTTCCTACAAGTAGGGAGAGGCCTCCATCATTCCCTTGTGACTGTATAGACAAACATTGTGGAGTTAATGACCCGTCCCTGAAACATGACCTGCTAGCCAAAAACTGTGCTGTGGAGAGGGACACGCCATGCTGTGGTAGAGAAGGAAAGCCATCTGTGGCGATGCCCAGGTCAAAACAGTGTGGGAGAGAGCATCGAGGAGCAAGTCTGGCTAAATAAGACATTTTCTTCAAAAACACTCCTCATCTAACATATTCAGTGTTTGCTGCTGGCAGAAATGCAGACATTTTTAGCGCCCACATTGCAACAGGAGTAAGGATGCAGCGATTTAAAATGATCCACAGAAAGAAACCTAACCCTAACTTCTTGATTATTCCTTCATCTGTCCTTAGCTCAGTAGCAGCCACGTGTGGTGTTACTTTCATTACTGACTCTAAAGGAAGGGTTGGTCATTTTCAAAAACACGCATGATTTTGAAAGTATTCCCTCAGTGCCTGTCTACAGCCGTCCCCTCCCCTCTGTGCTCCTTCAAAAGCCACGGCCCTCACTTATATGCACGAGCACGGTTGAGCAGACCTCAGCTCATTGCTTGCTTTGTGTAGAAACTACGTTGTCTCATTCAGCGGTAATTAAACACAAGATTTGATCATCAACATATGTAAAAAAAAACAACTTATACTGACTTTTTTACTACTCACAATAGCCAGTGACAAACTCACAGTATAAACTCAGTCATCAGTGACACGCTTTGAGTGTGGGCTACTGGGGGCAAGTGGTAGAGAATGTGCAGGGAGACAGTGAGGCATGATTGGTTCATCAAATTTGTACCTCAGGGCAGACATGTTTTTACAGGCTAAACACAGCTACAGATGACGGTTCCTTTTTCAGAGCACATTAATTATTCATTTCTCTCAGGACCTAAAGACAATTTCAACCAAAATCTTAGAAAGTGTATCTGGAGAAAATTACCAACCCTGCCTTTAACCAAGAAAAGGAAAGCATAATTTTTTTTTTCATGTCATCCTGATAACACGAGGATGACCTTGGGGTGGAAAATGTTGATATTTAAGTTGAGATCTTTGAAAAATTCCCTCCTCCATCAGAACAAAAAAAAAAAACCATGATCTTATGTATGAAATAGTTGTGTATGATCACTGAAAACTTGCTAGCAGGTATTAGGAGGATCTGTATATGTGAACGCAAACAGTCACATTTTCGCTCAGACTTCACCCGGAGTTTCTCCTGCCAGAACCCTTGTATTTTATCCGCAGCAAGTCCGAGTGAGCTGATGTGAGAAGAATGTCCATGTCACGTCTTACCTCAGGAGACCCAGCTATGAGGACCATAGTGCATATGTGAAAACTGCTATACAAGGTCTTTTCTTTGTGTTCTTCTTTGTGACTAACCACACATTTGTCATGTTCACTGAGGTTTTTCTAATTGCTTAGAAACAACAAAACGGTTCTAAACTGAAGAAAAACAACCAGTTGCATTGACTCACTAGCACCACAACGAGGGTCAAAAAGTGCATTATCATAATGAGCTCACCGGGACTCAACAATATTATTTGGAGGTAGCTTCAGTTAAGTAGGAAAGCAATGTGAGTCCAGCCTTACCTAAACTGTCGGGGCTGTCTATGGAGAAACACATGAGGATGACGTCGGTGTCAGGGTAGGAGAGAGGCCTTAGTCTGTCATAATCTTCTTGACCTGCTGTATCCCACAACGCTAACTCCACCTAAAAGAAAAGGAGAACAAAAATAAAAGAAACATTTTAAAAATACGGTTGGATGTTCCCTCTTTATTGACAGCTGGATGAAAAGGTGGGAAGCGTACATCAGACAAATATGTGGAACAAAGAATAGTGTCAGAAAGAGGAAAAAAAAGATTTCGACAATGTTTTCCTTAAATATCAAGCTTAGAAAGTGACTCAGAAGAGGGTGTCATAGTCTCCCTTAAACCTCTGTACAGTAGCCTCAAACACATTACAATAACATCTGGAAAACTGCGCCTCAAACTCTGTAGAAATTGTTAGAATTGTCCCCCAGTATAGTAAACAAGCAATTTATCAGCACATTTCTGACATCTCCCTACACTCACATGCTGCCAAGGTGCTGCTTGCAGGGCATTTTCACCAGTACACAAACAGACAGTGCACTATACCTCATATTCTAACTGGGAACAGTCAGCAACACAACATAATGACAACTGGTGTCCAGCTCTGCTGCTTTTACCACTAGGTGTCTCTCAGGAGTCAGCCTGAACTCATCTGTTCAGTCTTCTTGTTCAGTGTTTGAAACCAAAACTAAATACTACAAAAAGTAAGAGGGGGGCATTATAATGTTTCTCAATGACAATGACCCCGTCAGTAATATTTCACTACAACATTAAACATTTGGACCACATTTAAGAGGCCTGCAGTACAGTTGACTTTGTATTACACCGCACAGGAAATAGGTAAAGGAAATGGGACATTAGTCATGATGTATGAAGAGGGGTTGGGGTGGGGGGAGAGTCAAACTGGCCAGGAAGGTGGCACTGACCCATTTCCTGTTGTTGTCTGGAGCTCTGCTGCTTAATTACAATGAAAAGACCAAAGGATTGGGTCAGCCACTTATCCCCATCAACACGTGATTCTCAACAACCAGGTCCAACAGGGTCATATTTGGAAACAGTTTAATGTGTCAAATAAACCGGTCTGATCTGAGAACGTTTTTTATCGACCTACATTCAAAATCCTCACTAAAGGATCCACTTGTGGGATTGAATAGCTATCACACTAACAGGAGATAATATTGATAAGGATGCTTTTTGCCTATTACTCGCTCAAGAGGCGGCCTTTTGGCTTCCCACGAGTTTTGCCCTCACTGGAGGTTGTGCGACACGGTTGGAGGGGGGCACTACAACACATATGAGATAAAGTATTATCAACAAAAGGCAATTACATATTTTGATTACAATTATGTAATTATAAATTCTGTTATCCTATCATGTTCATGAATGATTGGATAACTGGACTTCTACAGGCCTTTAGCTGTTATGTATTTGAAAACATACAGTTTGGCAGATCATGGGTAAAGTCTTGAGTAAAGAAGTCCAGTTTGTTTGAAATTTACTGTCCATTTACTGTAGGACGAATGGAAGAGGAGAGGAGAACAGAAATAACGAGGACAAAAGACGTAAAAAAGTTGAGAGACAAATCTACAAAAGTGAAATGGCACATTAAGAAAAAATGTAACGTAACATGAAATTGGATACATCAGTGTTTTCAGAAAATATCAACACACTCCTACAGCTGAGGCAGGAAAACATAATCATGTGCTGCACTGATTCTTACGGACCTGTTCACCTTGCCTCATTTCACCAGCAGTGGAAATGTTTTGTTAAATGTGAGTAATGAAATTTAGTTTAGCTCATTTAAAGATGGCTACCGATTAAACAGTTTCTATGGACTCAGGGTAACTGTAGATTCCAACTCAATATTTGTTTAGCTGAAAAAAATTATAATTAAAAAAAAAAATTTGTTCAAATGTTATATTTTGTTTCATATTATTGAATTGCTGTCTAATCCACAGAAAATGTATGGAAGCTGGGTGCTCACCCTGCGTTGAGGGGTTCCATTCTGCAATAAAAACCCACTCACTATAAATCATCCCTGCTCTGATCTCCTCAATGCGTGTTGCATGCTCTGCTTTCTGCACTATAAGTTTGTGGTGTACATTAAGTAGTGTTCTCTAATGAGAAAAAGTCCTGCTGTCTTTTCAACGTCAGATATTTCCCCACTGTGAGTCTTTTCCATGGAAACTGTGAACAAGGCTCCTCCAGCCTGTGTGATGTAAAAGCCTTTGTCAAACACTGACCCCGTTGCAGCAGTGAATAGCATTATCATACACAAATGATAAGTGTTCTTCCTACTGGTCTTGTTTGCTTTTATACGTCATATGGAGGCATCAGTAGTGTGTTTTATAACCAGTTTAACCAGTAAAAAACTCACACGGTAAGTTTCAGTTTACAAATAAAATCAGCCCCATAGTTAAAAAAAAAACAACCTATGTAGGGAATTCCTCCCAATTTGAAAAATTAAATTAAGGCCCCAAACCAAAATAAATAAAAGTACCTGTTTGCCGTCAACTTCAATGTCTGCGATGTAGTTCTCAAACACAGTGGGGACGTAGACCTCTGGGAACTGGTCCTTACTGAAGACGATGAGCAGACATGTCTTTCCACAGGCACCATCCCCAACTATCACCAACTTCTTTCTGATGGCAGCCATCTAAAGAATAAAAAAAAAAAAAACTTTGTTAGTCTTTTAATTAAGGGTTAAGATGCATGAGAATGAACAGTCAGTCAACTGGTAAGAAACAAGTCTCTTCAGAACAAGGAGGGAGTAGAAACAATGACACCAGAAATAGTCAGAGTGGGAACGAAGGGAAAAATGAGATGATGGAAGTGTGTTTTAGAACCGCACCCTCTTCCCTTTCCTGAACCGTGTCCTGTGTGTGAGGTGAAAAACAGAGTCGAGTTAAGGGTTCAGTGCTGGTCGAGGAAAAGGCAGCAGGGGGGAAAGGGAATGGGAGAGCTACAGTCTGCTGCTGCCTCTCCACAATCACATTTAAAAACAGGCCTTAATGCGTCACTTCTACATCCCTGTGGCAACGTTGACTACAGCTCCTTCTGTTTTTGTTGACACCTCTGTATTCTCCGCTATTTCTCTGAGCTGTATATCTGCGAGGTGAGAGTGTTAGTGACTGAATCATGCATTCTCATAGAAAATATACCGCCATACACACAAATACACAGAGATCAATAGCCATCTCCCACAAGCTGACAATAATAGAGGGAAGGCGGTATGTGATGAGACAAGGTACTGGCAGCCTACCAGCAGCTCAGATTTCACACATCTAAGACTACCTGCACCAAAACAAAGATCTACACCTCTGCTTTGACACAGAGTGCTGACAAATGATGGAAAAACACACCATCCTTAAATAAAGCACCTCTAATCAATAGTTGACCAAGACTTGCTCATATGACTGTGTGTACTTTTCTCTGAAGCATCACAATGTCTTTGAGCTCATTGTTTTGTTCTTATGTTCTTTGACTGTCTTCACCATGTAGATTAGTCCCATGTTCCGTCCTCTACACGCCCACATTCAACCATAAACGGTCAACGCAAAGCAGCGTGTGAATGAAAATGCATACAAACGAGGGGGCAGATCAAAGGTTTCTAGCGCTGGATCGCAGCGAAACACGGAAGTTTAGGCGAAGAAACGAAACTTTCTGACCCAGAAACGGAGGAGTTTGTGAATGAAGTAAAGGAAAAAAAAATGGACATATCGGTAGTTTACTGCAGAAAGAGGATCACAAACTTAACAAAAATCAGAGAATGACACCAAGTCGGTCCTGCATTCCACCCTGTCCTATGTGCCAAAACATACGCCGTTCATCATTACGCACGAGTATATCCGCAATGTTTACATGTTTACGGGACCGACACTGACTTCTTCATATTGTCAGAGTGCTCACGTCAGTCAGCAGTCTCCCTCACTCCATCATATCATCAATCAAACGTTTGATCAACGAACAAAAATGTTTGATTGTTGGCCACATTTTTTCGTGGGAAACTCTGTCTGCTCTGTGACTAATTATGAGGATAGACCTAATGATCGTGTCAGAGATGTCCCGACTTAATGTCCACACTTGAATTATTTACAGAATAAATACGTGCAGCTGATGAAGATGTGCTGAGTAACGAGAAGGCGAAATGTGTGAAGCCACCGCCGTGTCTCTGTGCGCTCTGTGCGTCTTGACGCAGGTATCTTTATTAAAACTAAAAACCACACTTGATGATAAATGCACGATATTGAAAGATATTAATGAAAACTGGTTCCTCTATGATTTTTGTATTAAGTCTAATTTTTAACTCTACATCAGTGATTACATTAGTGTACAAGTCCAGTCCTCTGAGGTCCGTCCTGGATAATGGTAAGACGGCGCTGATGCAATATGTATGTGGCAGACGTTTTTTCTTTTTCACGTTTATATATTGTCATAATGAAAGTGACTTATTGAAAAAGGCTCACTGCATGCGCGATTATAGCCTAAATAAAACCATCGGTTTGAATGATTATGATGACGTGGATCTGTCAGTAAAGTTTGATATTTGGTGAAATAAATTGTGGAAGAGACATCAATATCTGCAGGCTTCAATTCACCACTTCGCCGTCTGTGTCGCAAATTTCCCATGCCTCCAAAATGTACGTACCTGAGTCAGAGTTCGCTTACCGGTGCGCACATTTTACCGTCAGCTTTGTTTTTATAGATCACAGACTTTGCGTGGGAAAAGGCGTACGCCAGTTTCAGACCCCGTTTTGTGCGTACGCAACGGTAATAAATGAGACCCCTGCTCAGTAAACAGCCAGCGGACAGATAAACAGATGCACACTGGAGCACTCAGGAGTTTGAGAGTATATTTTTCACCATTACTAAGTGGTGACCACAGAACAGAGCTTAAGACAGACCTACTTCTGTCAGGTGGCTGTAAACATGAGTCTAAATGTAGGACAATGTTGCTCTGAAACAGCTCGATGTGTAAACAGGCAACTGCTTGCCAACAAGTTTACCACATCAGCTTAAAAGGTGATGTTGTGTAGCTTGTTACAGCAGGTTTAAGGAGTCTGTTGACTTCAAACCAAAAAAAGCAAAACACCTGGGCAAATATTTATTTCCTCACAGTGAGGAAAGATCCACAACTTATTCAAATCCTCACAGAAATATTTACAAATATTTTTATTTGACAGGAACCTTGTGCAATGAGATGGTGAACAGAATTTTGCAGCACTTGTCTGTATAAACTGTAGGTGCCTGGTCAGAGGGGATTGGCTGGGATGGCCTAGTAAATACAAATTTATAGTAATAACTACAGCCATTTAATATAGTGCAGACAACATGATGGCTCCTCTGTGCAGAGTGGACAAAAACTATATATTCAATCACTGAAGAAAAACCCTCCTGGATACAAAACATTTTTTGGCTTTTTGGGAAAAATATAAAGAGCCCTAAAGAAAAACAAGATGAGGTTTTTGGATGTTCATAAATGAAAGGTGTAATTTTAAATAATTCCTTCACCAACTGTTACAAGAGCTACCATTTTCACCACAAGAATAAAACGGCAATTGTTCAAATTGCTTTTCTCTCCCACACATTAAATCAGGCCAGTGTTTGTCTCTGGAGAGAGCCACCTGTTCTCTGTGATAGCAGGCTGCTGCTACTCCATACATCATACTGTCACTGCCGGAGGGGAAGACAAACACACACACCAACACACACACACAAACAAGCTGCTGGCAAACCCAGAAAGCTTGACAAAATCGGTCTAGTCTTGCAGATCTTGTGCTGAGAAAGAATAATGCCGCTTATTGATGGCAACAGCTCTCACAACGTGCCGTCTGTGGCAGTAGCAGGACATGGCAGTTAGTGAGGATAATGGTCCCTTGCCTTTGCATTAATGTGTGTGCACACTGTGCCAATACAAAGGCAGGAACAGAGTCTTGAGAGTAATACATTCCCAAATGAGAGCTGTAACCATTCAATGTGGTGAAGTTACGACTCAACATTATAAAGTCAGCCAACACTGATGTATCCATTAAACATGGATGTGATATCCAAAAAAGAGAATGCCATAAAATTAACACAACCCATTATCTATTTTGGGACACATTCAACACAACTGTGATTTGGATTTCTTCAACCAAACAAAAAAATATATCTGCAAGAACTTTTCTCATCAATCTTTATTCAGTTCAATCCTTAATACCATTACAATTTGACTGTGGCTTTTCCCTCACTATATCGGACCGCAATCACCTTCCTTACTTCCTTCAATGCTTCCTGGTGAGACAAAAACTAGTGAAGGAGAAAACAATGAAAAACAGGAAAGACAACAAGATTTCACCTGGTTGACTTTCTTCCTTCAGGTGACTTCAAATATGCATTATTAGCACAAGGAGGAGGACAAACGGTCTCTCCCTTCTAGACTGCTCTAACAAACTAAGGTGAGATGATGCAGTAACATTGCATTAAATAAATCATGTACTCACTGTATTTTTCACAACAGCTATACTTGAACCTGATACTTTTGTGGAAACTTCCAGAGGACTACCGTTACTTAACAACTCTCCGAAGGCAAAAAGCCCTCAGCATACTGTGTCACACATATATTTTACACTTACAGCCAACTTTCCTAAAGAGGGAGGCCTAAGCCTCTAAAATTCTAGACAAGTCTAACAGAAACTCAGACTGCAGAGGAGGTGAAACTCTTTCTTTTTGGACAACTGAAACTCTTCATTGACCAACTTGTGACTTTCGGTTGTATTTGGGGGAAGCAACAATGAGAGTTAGGGTTTTGGAGAGGGGGGGGGCTGACTGTGGGAGTTTCCTTGAATAACAAATTGATATCAAACAATAATAAATAGGACATTTTCATCTGTGGCCTTCAACTGAGGCTGCATTAACCACATTGAAGCAAATTGAATGCATCAAAGAATCACATCCTGAAGTGCCTACAGCTATTCATTGTTTTGCCATTTGCTTTGGTGTTAAAGCACTCTGCTGTGTCATGTTCAATAATCAATAATTAAGTGTGCTCTGGATTATATTTTCTGGTAAGTAGGCCTCAGTCAGAGTAAGGGGAAAGTTATTCTAAAAGAATAATAACTTTATTAATGTGCTTATAAATAATAGAAATAAGGATAAGGATCTGTGTGGCGTAGCACTGAATAGAAAGAGCTGCAAGACAAAACTCCTGCATAAATCCCTGTGTTACAAATAAAGAGTGGGAACAAAATGATGCAGTGAATCCTTTGTACACCTGTTCTCATAAACAAATTGACCTAAAAGAGAAGAGTGGTATATTTGGGCAGGAGACTGTGCGTTTACACGTGTCTCTAGTTGTATGATCCTGTCTTGCATAATGTTTATCCCAATGTGGTGCAGCTGGGGACAAAGTTCTCATTCTTTGCACATGCAGCACAGTCACTGATTTCTGCCCCAGAAGTAACACATTAGCCAGCCCTGTTCACTGGAAAGGGTAGGAGAAAGATAATTAGCTAGTTCATTCTAGCAGAGGCAACGAGATACAAACTTTATCTTGCTTAAGTATGAGCCCAATGAAATAGGGTATACACAAGAAATTGTGAGCACCCCACTAGTAGTAAGACTACACAAGATCTAAAACTTTAAGTAAAAAATTCGGTCAGCATAAGCAGAATCACC